AATGCCTGAAATATTAATAAGAGCCTTTACCGTATTTTCACAAGAGCCTATGTTGTCAAAATGTTGAAATAGAAAGGTTTAGAAAAAATAAATGAAAGAAACTCGCATATTTTATAAGAAGATGCATGACTAGGCACATCCAAGTCCAAACTGACGCATGTGATTATCATTCAAATGATACAGGTCATCGCTGAACGGGCCAATGAAATAACGGCAGATGGCGAATGCAGAGGTGATGGTAGGGGCTCTGCCCCCTCCAAAAACAAACGCAGGGCTTTTCTTGACTTGCTTTTAAGTGTGACTGATGATGAAGGGAACAGGCTAAGTCATGAGGATATTCGAGAAGAAGTTGACACCTTCATGTTTGAGGTATTGTTTATTGATTGTTATGTTCAGATATCATTAAACACATTTCAGTTGTTTTTAGAATCTTTAGCATTATTTGTTAAAATTTAATCAAATTTTAAAGTAGTTTAATATAACTAAGGAAGATTCATTATATTTTCATTAGACATTAGAAAATTTAAGAAACTGCTTAAGCACCAGCTCAACCTCCTTCTTCAGGAAACGATTTTGCTGAGTGCTGGGCACAGCAGTAGACATTTTTTATTTTTATTTTTTTAAACTCAAGAAACCCTAAGATTTGTCAGAGTTTTCCCAAGCAGGCGACCAGCCCAGGATTGCTCTCAGTTCTCCACATGGCTTCAGCTTCCTTCCAACCTCCCAGACCCGCAAGTCCACGTCCTCACCACCTCCTTTTTGGGGTTCTAGCAGACGAGCACTTAGCTACTGCCATGAGCTGCTCTACCTAAAGAGTAAAAGCCCTCCGACAGAAATTTCAGCTGGCTCATGATTCTAAAGAGATCTCCGCCCTCAAACTTAAACATATATATGGGAAGTACTTTTTACGAAGATAGCCTAGGTATTAAACACTACAAAGAAGGACTCTCTATGTGAATGGCAAAATAGATAAAGCACAGCTTTCGGAAGCCCATGTAGTAGTATCCTCTGCGTGGAGCAGAGTGAAAGGCACCTGAGTTGTTAATGGCTCTGCCACGGACGTGTTAGCTGCTCTGCGGGAGCCTCTGGCGGCAGTGCCAATGCCTGTGCACTCTTGTGTGAGGCTCCACAACGCAGTGGAAGAAAGCTGTGTGAAGGGGCTTTGGATCCTAGTTCCAGTTCAAGCTCTGTGCTGATTAGCCAGATAAGATAGTTCTGATCATTCCAGAGCTCTGTCACAACTTTCCTATGTGCAAAAAGGAGAGATGGACTGCATTGGAGGTTTTAAGCTTTTTAAAGCAGAACACTTCACGGAAAATAAGTCTTAAGCAGAAAATGGACATCTAAGTTAGCTGAAAAGTAGAGGTTAAGAGTGTGGGCTTCAAGACCAAACCCCAGCTCTACGGTGCAGGAATCATGACCTCAAGCACCTCACCTAGCCGTTCTGGGCCTGAATATTCTTATTTTAATAGCACAAGCCTCATGGAATAGTTATGATGATTAGATTTGTAAAGGTGCTCTGAGAATCGTGATTGGCCCATAAGGAGTATGCAGCAGATACCGGGTGTTATTATTTGATGTTGAAGTGGAGAGACCTTCTCACATCTTCACCTTGCCCACACACACACACACATATACTCCTGTACACACATACACAAACACACACATGCACACACCCACATACATATGCATACACACATACGCTCATACACATACACATACATGCACAGACACATGTATATACCCATATACGCTCATGAACATACAAACGTATATACCCATATACACACATGCACATATACACACATACACAAACACACGCACACACCTACCTACACTCATGCATATACACACATACATGCACACACATGCACACACACATGTAGGTCCACATTCACACATGTGGGCATACATACACTCACACACAAATATACACACACATAGACTCATGTACATACACATGCACGCATGCATGCAGACACATACATGCACACACCACCCCCACACACATGCACACATTCGTATACATTTATGCAGATAATCACACATACAAAAACATATACACACCTATATACACACATGCACATATACACATATATGCACATATATATACACATGCAAACACAAATGCACACAGCCATGTACACTCATGTATACATAAGCACAAATGCACACACAAACATGTGTATATATCCACATACAGCATGCATCTATGCACACACGCCATACCTACATGTACACACGTGTACATGTATGCACACCCCCATACCTACATGTGCACACATGTACATGTGCACACATTCCATCCATCTCCTACCAGGAACCTCTCACTTTCATGAAAACAACCAGAACCAGACTAATGATTTTTCTTTTGGTTCCGACACTCCTTGAAATTCTAACTCTTTTCTTCTCTGCATTGAATGGAGGTGTACCAGGTGTAAGTCTACAGGCTCTAACTGCCCGGGTTCCAGCTGTGAGCTAAAAGTGGGTGTCCCCCCTGCTCTGCCAGTGCGCCTTGGTGCTTTACGTTTGCCTCATCATGCCTTCTGCGGATGGCAGACAAAATAAAGTTGAAGGCTCAGCGGACTCCTCTTACGCCTTTGGATTAGGCTTCTGCTCATAAATTCAAGGAAAGCTATTAGACTTGTTTAGCCAGCGTACTTCCATATGCACTTAGCAGACAAGCGGGCACGATGGGCCAGAGCGCAAAACTGGAGCTCCAAGCAGTTTCTGTAACTGCAAGTGCTAGGAAAATGCAATGAGGCGCCAGCCTCAGGGACCTGTAGGCTGCGTATTTTAAGAATTGCAGAATAAGCCCCAAGCAATTCAATTCACGAGCTGTTTTATAAAACAAGTACGTTGGAGATTTCTGCACAGAGAATGAAATATTATAATAATCGCTTGTGCCACATAGGGAAAATGGAAACGTGAGATCTTTTATAGAGGTGATCATTTTTTTCTCTTTTTGTCCTTAGCGTTTCACTCAGAGAGGTAGATTACTGTGATTGATTTTCCAGACACATTTTTTTTTCCTTTAGAACTCACCACTTTTGCATAAGGGAATGCGCTAGGGAGCTGAAGAGGTAGATGAGAAGCCAAGGTCTGAACTATCAAGTGGGTAGGGAAGAAGGTAGCCCGAGTGTAAGAGGTGGAGGCAGAACCTCCTGAGTGCACAGGGTGTGGTGGTGGCATCAGCACAGCTGGCTTTGTCCTCAGACGTGCCCAAGGCTCAGCTCCTGCCTCTGCCTCCCACGAAGCTGCTTAGCACAGGAGACATTATTTCACCACATCTTTGCCCTGAGTTTTTAATCTCTGAAATGTGAATAACAGTAATGAATCTTCCGTGGAGTTTTTGTGCAGATTAATTGACTCAGTTTTTGCAAAGTACTTAGTATTTTGCCTACAACTCAGCAAGTATTAAATGAGGTTGTTGTCGACTTTTGAATGCGGAGGATGTGACTTAGAACCACACCTATACCCCCTGGCACCTGCCGTCCACAGGTAAGGCCCACCTTACAGATGGGGGAGGGCAGAGAAGTACAGACTTGCCAAGCAGGCTCTGGGACATCAGGCTTCGTTCCCTTCAGAGGTGCAGCTCACCTAGTGCCCATGGAACCGCCTTCATTAACACAGCCCCAGGCACGTCCCATGAGTGTGCACACTCCACTGAGCGGCGTGGAGCTGTCATGTCTAGGCATGAACCTCCACTTTTCAGGAATTGTTTGCTTGTTTATCACCGAGGTAAGGTGCTGCACAGAATTAATTATGTTCTTCAATCACAGTGCAGCCGTCAAATCCAGAGACAATTCAGAAGCGGTTTCTGGTCACTGCCAATCATTGCAGGCTACCTCTGCTTTTTAAGCTACTGTTTTCTCCGTTTGTAGGGCCATGACACAACTGCAGCTGCGATAAACTGGTCCTTACACCTTTTGGGTTCCAACCCAGAAGTCCAGAAAAAAGTGGACAATGAGCTGGATGACGTGTTTGGTATGTTTGGCCCTTTCATTGGTTCTATTGTGGTGCCGAGTCCTCTGCAGAGATGCCAGTGTGTTCACAACAACGAGCAGGAACGCTTCCCTGCGGGATCCTTACCAGTACCATCCCCTTTGCAAGGCCTCATCCATTCACTCACAGGCCTCTGCCAGTCACCTGGCAAGTGACCGCACTGGGCTGGATGCTGGGGTGCACAGATGCATGCTGCTGTTCTTGAGGTTAGATGCTGGGGTGCACAGATGCGT